TATATACAGTATATGCTTGTGAAGTTATGTCTGTCATTAATGGGTTTTGTTTTCCAACCAGCAAAACAGAAATCATGTTTGATCCTTCACCACACCTGCACACGCATCTGCAGCCGCGAATACTCTGAAAGCAGGAGGTTGCACTCCCTCTCCACGCCCTCTCTCCGCCCCCTCTCAGTGCGCACCGCTGCACGCAGGGCCGACACCGCCTCCCTCAGGTGCTGGTTCTCCTCTTCAAATGGCGGACGCTTTGCATCCACAGTAAAGCTTTCAGCCCTGCCCACTACAAACTCATCCTCATACCTGGAAACATGACACAAATATATATGAGGATTTTTTCTCAAAGATGACTGTTTTATAAACTGCAGGAAAAATAGAAAGAACCTGGGTGCTGTGCAGAGCTCCCTGAGGCAGGGGAACGAGTGGATGGTCTTGCGTCGCTCCCTCTTCTCCCTCCTGACACGGAGCTGCTCCATGGAGCGAAGCTGCTCCACCTGCCCCGAAAGAGACTCCACCTGGTTCTGCAGAGTATCAATGGTCCCTGTTAATCTGGCCCAGGAGGAAGAGGAAACATTTAGGAAGTAGGAGGAAGGAGGATAAAACAGAAGAGACAGGAAAACCACCGGTCCCTCTCACCTCTCGATCTTCTGCTGCGAGGCCTTGCTGTCTGTCACAAGAGTGAGGTTGGTGTGTTCCAGCTCTCGGGCCGTCCCGTCCAGCTGCTCGTACACTTTGGCGTGCTGCTCGTTCATGTCCCGCAGAACCTCCAGCTGCTTTGATAGGTACTGTTGCCCAAACACACAAAGGCTTTGTAAATACAACTATACACAGTGAATGCAACACACAAATCTACAAAGTTACAACATTGTTAGCAGAAGAACAGCCAGGAGACAAAAGCTTTCTCTGGCTGTTATTGTAATTTGGCTGTGCAAACATTCTTACCTCAACAACCAGTTAGTGGCAGTTCTTGAGTTTTCAGGCATTATCACATGATTTTCATAAGCACATGGAGTTTGGCAGTTATCAAGTACATATAATTAGTTTCTTCTTCTTCTTGTTCTCTCTGAAGGTCATGTGATAAGACTGAAATGCCCTAAAAAGCTATTAAATGGACCTTGAGATTTGAGCTGAGGTCAGTTACTGTTTCTAAAAAGAAAAGGAATTTAAAACCTCAACTTTTACA